CAATTATGAGAAAAAGCTAAGGCAATGATTTCCCCTATTGATGGAATCCCTTCTATTTATGCTCATACAAATTTACCCACACATCTCTATCAATCATGAACGCTAATCTTACCGCAATTCTCTCCCGAGTAATCACAGTAATCTACTATTGCACTCTCCCGAGATACACTAGCTTACTTTATTTAGCATAATTCACTTAGATTACACCCAAGGCTTCGTTATCCCTAATCCCGCCTTTAAACCCGCAATTATAGATTCCTCTAATAATCTAGGAGTGGTGTTGTTCGACAATACCCTAAATATGCACTCTTTTCCAAGTTATGCACACTAAATAGGCACAGCTAATTGAGGATCCTGTCAATTAACTACAACGAACACGAAGTTGAACAAATAGAGATTAAACTAGCAATTTGTATTCACATAAACAAGAAGTTCATCACCCAATAGGTTCCATCAAAACCTTAGACAAGGAATTTAGCTACTCATGGCTATAGGAAAATAAACTAAGCTTGAATTCATCATAAAATCAAAAGAAAAAAAGAAAGATGGTTAGAGTATTTTCTCACAATGTTTTTCCTTGCTAAGAAACCTAAAAAATCAATACATGCCTCTCTTGGGCGAAGTCTAGTGTTTTAAATAGGTTTTAGGTCTAAAAATCCCGTAATTGACACTTTGGTCCCCGAAGTTTCTGCGGCTGCCGCGGATTCTCAATCTTCTGCAGCTGCTTCCCACCGCGGTTCTGCCTCGGTCGCGGTGGAACCGCAGTGGATCCAGTACTCTGAATTCCTCGGCCTATTTTGCATGGGTCACTTGGGAAATTTCACAGTTGGCCTCTTTTTCATCACTTTTAACTCCAAAACTGCTCCTTAGCCTTCCTTATACATATATCACCTACAAATCATGAAAAGCACTAATAAGAGCATTTTGTCATCACTTTTAGCATTAAAACTACACAAGAAGGTGATTATTTAAGGTGTGATTATAGTCAAATTCACCTATTATCAGTTTGAAACTGAAATAGGGAAGCAAGAGGTGATTCGAGGTGGAATATAACACTTTGATAAAAAGCCTTTTATCTTTAAGGCATGGTCTCCATAATTGGAATTCACTAAGGAGGAATTGCTAACTGTTCCAATTTGGGTCAAGTTCCCTGGTCTAGACTTTAAATATTGGAGTAAGAAAGGATTGAGCAAGATTGACAGCTTGGAAGGAAAACCAATTATGGTGGACCATAATAGTGAAAAGAGAAATGGCTTTAATTTTGCAAGGCTATTAGTTGAAGTAGAAATGAATGCACAGCTGCAAGATGTGGTACTCTTCAGAAACAAGAGAGGCAAATTGATTGAACGGAAGATGAATTATAACTGGAAACCTACTCTGTGTAGTCACTATTCAAAATATAGACGTGCAAAAGATGTTTGCAGGATAAAGAAGAAGCAACAAATTCAAAAGCAGCAAACTGAATTACCAACTGCTAATCAACATGAGAAGAATAGAGGAAAAGAAAGTGAAAAGGACCAGCAGGCAAAAAATCCAAACCATATGGACAAATCCAAAAGGATTTGTCCTTGTGAGGTATTCTATATACCTCTCCAATTGACATTTGAAATTTGTTATGTGTATGCTTTCAATAAAAAAGAGGAAAGAAAATAGCTATGGGCAGGGGCGGATTTAGGGGGGCACAAGGGTGTTCACCCGAACACCCTTCGCCGAAAAATTACGCTGTATATATAAGGTAAAATCTGTGTTTTACCTCTATATATTAAGTTTTGAACACCCTTAACACAATCCAAAAGTGTAGTTTAGTGGTCAAGGGTGTTCAAAATCTACATAAGGTCATGGGTTCAATTCCCGCTTGTCACAAAATTATTTTTTTGAACCCCCTTCGTGGAGATCCTGCCTCCGCCACTGGCTATGGGAAAGTCTAGTGACTCGTAGTAGGAGATGTACTTAGACCTTGGGTGGTTTTGGGGAATTTCAACTCAGTTTTAAAACTAGAGGACATGATAGGAGGCAATTCAGTAACCTGGTCAGAGGTTATTGATTTTCATAACTGTGTTGAGGAATGTGGATTACTGGAATTACCTGCTCAAGGAAATAGGTACACCAGGAATGATAAACATGAGGATCAAAGGGTGTTTGCAAAGATTGATTGGATGTTCATTAATGGGGATTGGTTGGACGCAATGCCAGCATGTAGGGCACTATTCCTACCTGAAGGCATAAGTGATCAATCTCCTATTAAATCATCATTGGCAAGTGAAAGAACCAAAGCTAGGAAGTCTTTTCTCATCAGTAACATGTGGGCTCAACATCCATAATTTGCAACCATTGTTACTGAGGGATAGAGTACTAAGATTTAAGGATGCAAAATGTATACAACAGTAAATAAGCTAAAGGTTTCAAAGAACAAGCTCAAGGCATTAAGAGCTCAGTATTCTCACTCAATTGTAGCAGAAGCACATAAGGATAGGAAATCACTTAAACAGGCCCAGATCCAGCTTTAGAGTAATCCAACTAGTGCAGATTGTTAACAAACTGAAGCTTAGACATATTCAAAGTTCAAACAACAATCTTACTTGGCTGAAATATACTTACAGCAAAGGAGTAAAACTACTTGGATAAAATTCGGAGATGATACACTAGGTACTTTTATTTAATAATAAAGCATAGGAAGTTGAAGCAGGCAACTACATAGTTGAAGGACTCATCAGGAAATTGGCAGACTGACCTTGAAGCTATTGTAGATTTATTTGTCAACTACTATGAAGAGTTACTGGAAAGGAGATCATATTCTAGAGTGTCAGCCTTTAATAGCAGTCTTAAAATGGTCAAGTTATCACAATTGAGAAACAACTTGATCTATTAAGAGGCCGTTTGGATTAGCTGATTTGAAGTAGCTGATAAGCATTAGGTGCTGAAAAGCTCAAAAGCACTTTTAAGTGCTGAAACTGATTTAATAAATAAGCAACTACGTGTTTGGATATAAATGCTGAAATTGATAATAAGTTGCTGCAGCATTTGATTAAAAAGTGCTGATAAGCTCTTTTTCTGTTAAAATGATTTAAATAACCTTAGAACTGTTTACACTTATAAGGGCATAATTTCTTCAAAATTTTAGATTCCAGATCGATTCAAATACAAAATATCCTATTTGTCATTTATTTTAAATACAATTGTGCTGATAAGATAATGTTTATGATAAATATAATTTATTTTATGATAAGCATATAATAATAAGTTATAATAATTAATAAATTGACAAAATTTTCTCAATAAAAAATAAACCTAAATAGGACAAAATATTGAAGAGAAACAAACACTGTCTTCGTCACCACAACACTTAAAAAGAAATACACCAAAGTTTTGATATGTCCTCATTTATTACATACAATTCAAAGATTAATACACAATCACATAGATACATTAGAGAATTTGCTTATCTTATATAGTCAATGAGAATTGCAAACTTGAAGGGGGGGGGGGGGGTAGGTTGAAAAAATATCTGAGGCAGTGAGTATCGATGTAGGAGTTTTGTTCTAAAAAGGAATATTTTAAGGATAAAATAGTAAAAATCTTGGTCAAACTTAAAGTGTTCATAAGCTAAAAATTCATAAGCTGAGGGTGACCAGCTTTTGGCTTATTTTTTACTTATAAGCACCTGGCTTATAAGCACTTTTAACTTTATCAAATGTGTAGATAAGCCAAAAAGTGCTTATAAGCTAGTTTGACCGGCTTATAAGCTTAGCCAAACACCCTCTAAGGCCTTTTGCGGAGAAATAAGTGAAAGAGGCAATGTTTCAAATAAATAGCAATAAGAGTCCTGGACCAGATGGATATGGAAGTGGTTTTTACAATGCATCTTGGAAGATAGTAGGACAGGATGTTACAGAAGCAGTGATGGAGTTCTTTCAGAATGGAAAGTTGCTTAAGTATCTCAATTCAACTATTATAGCACTCATTCCAAATGTGGAAGTTCCAGAAGAAGCTAGTCAATATAGACCAATTTCATGTTATAATGTGTTATATAAATGCATTTCGAAACTGGTTTGTAATAGATTGAAAGTGGTTGTTAATCAATTGGTTGCAGAAAATCAATCAGCCCTTGTCTAGGGAAGATCTACGTTGCACAAAGTACTTATATGCTATGACATTTTGAGGCACTATAATAGGAAGACATAGATGTCTTATGAAAATTGACCTCATGAAAACATATGATATGGTTAGTTGGGAATTCCTTGAAGGAGCATTAATGGGCTTTGGTTTTTCAGGTAAGTTCATCAAGTGGATTATGATATGTGTATCAACTACAAAGTTCTCAATTAAAGTCAATGGAGAGAATCGTGGCTTTTTTGCAGGAAGAGAGGTCTCAGGCAAGGGAATCCTATTTCCCCCCTACTATTTGTCATAGTGATGGAGTATCTATCTAAAATACTGAAGACAGTTAGTATGTTACCAGATTTCAAGTATCATCCTCCCATGTGTAAGCCTATGAAACTTACTCACCTTATCCTTGCGGATGACTTGATTATTTTTTGCAAAGGGAATGAGAGTTCAGTAAATAGAATCATGGAGGCACTAAGTCACTTTAGTGATGTTACTGGATTGGTTGCAAATATGGAAACGTCAAGTATTTTCATGGCTGGGATAGATGACAGCACACAAGAAAAACTACTGGCTAGAACAAGTTTCACTTTTGGAACCCTTCCTATCAAGTATTTAGGCCTTCCCATTTCTCCACAAAAGTGGAACAAACTGGATTATCATATGCTGGTGGAAAAGATCACATAGAGAATCCAAGTTACCTATTCACGGCATTTATCCTATACAGGCAGATTTCATGTCATAAATACAACATCGTTCTCTATTCACAGTTTCTTGGGCACACTGTTCATCCTTCCTCAAAATGTTCGTAAAGAGGTAGATAAGATTTGTAAGAACTATACTTGGGGAAGTTCCGAGGAGAAGAAGAAAATACATTTGATAGCTTGGGAAAGAGTCTGTTGTCCCAAGAAGTTAGAGGGGCTGAATATTAAGAGTAGCAAACTCTGGAACATAGCTTTAGCGGGAAAGTTGATATGACAACTGCTATCATGTGTGAAGAATCACTGTGGGTTAAATGGTTGCATGATATATATGTGAGGACAGAAACAAATATCTGGGATGGTAAACCTCCTACAGACTGCAGTTGATATTGGAAGAAAATTAATAGTCTCAAGGTTCTAATGCAGGAATGGTACACACAGAACAAGTATATACTAACAATGAAAGTTATATATTAAAAAGGCGAAATACATAAATAGCCCCTTCAAGTTGTCCACAACGGTCAGTTGAACACCTCAACTGAGCCATGTTTCACTTAAACATATCACGTGTTTAAAAACTGATCTCTACAAACACCCGACCTCACCAACCTCCGTCGCGTGTATTGCACCTCCGGAATCGCAAGTGTGTAAGTATTTACAAACGGTAATATAACAGTTTTTTTGTGAAATTCCTAAAAAAAACCTTAATGAACTCCTTAATTTAAATACCCAAACCCAACCCTAAATATTTAGTCTACCCAGCCCCGTATCTTCTTCCTCTTTAGCAAAGCAGCAATTTTTTTTTTCTTCTCTCTCTCTACCTCTTCAATTTCAATGGAACCCGTTGTTAATTGCAACTGTGGCCAAATTGCTCCTTTAAAACTTTCGTGGTCACCATTTAATCCGGGTAGAAGATTCTATTGCTGTAGATTTGGGAAAGCTGGCGATGGTGGATGCAATTTTTTTCGTTGGTATGATGTTGAATTGTCCGAACACTATACCAAAGTCATGTATGGATTATTAAAGAGGGTAAAAAATCATGAAGAAGAAAAGTTGAAGTTGATGAAGAAACAGAGGATTTTGGTTTGGCTGCTTGTTATTGTAGTTGTGACTTGGTTTTTGAGGGAATCTTCTATTATTTAGGTGTATGGTATATGTATATGGGAATGTATTTCGCCTTTATTTTACTGCAGTGTTGTTTATGATTTATGGCCAATGTTGCCTGTTCAATGTAGTTGAAATTTTCAATGTGTATGAAGAACTTTTCAATGATCAAATGTGTTTTAGTTTCTGCAAAAAAACTAGACAGCAAGGTTCATATATTGAAATGTACTAAACTAACAAAAGCAGGTTCGATAATTTGAAATGTACTAAACTAACAAAAGGAGGTTCATATACATCCCATAATAATGGTTCAAAATACTTCACAAAACAAGGTTCATACATACGACCAAATGACCAACATTAGTAGGTTCAAAATACTTTACAAAATATGGTTCATCCATATGACCAAATGACCAACATTAGTAGGTTCAAAATACTTCACAAAATATGGTTCATACACATGACCAACAAAATACAAGAAAATTCTTCCTAAATTTGACTTTGACAAGAGTCAACTGGTGTAGATGAATTAGAGGTCCCAACTTTTATTTTTTTGTTAGAAACTGCAGCATCCCTTTGTTTTTGAAGTTGATTCCCTGTCACAACTCTTTTTCCTTTCCACTTGAGACCATTTGGTCTAAATCCAAGAACTACATTAGTTTGTGCAGCATTCATCAAGTTTGCACCAGTTGAAATAACTCTTTCACTTGGCCTACCAGGCTAGAAAATACTTATAGTTAGTAATGAATCATCCATAAGTATAAAGATAGAAATTACATTTAACTAATATTGACTTCTCACACTTACATTAAGGATACTAGTTCCAGTTTGTGTATCTGTGTACAAACCAAAACCAGAATTTCTGGTTCTTTTCTTTCCAACAGAAGCAGCAAGTGATCTGGCAGTAGCAGAAATAGCTGCACCAGATGTAACAGAACCAGTTGTACCAGCAACTGAACTTCTTCCTCTTCCCCTACCTGCTCCTCCACCTCTTCCCCTACCAGCTCCACCACCTCTTCCCCTACCTCTTACTGATGTTGTGTTCCTTCTTATCTTTGATGTTTCAGCACACAAGGAAGATGAGGCCCTTGGAGTTTGGGTTGTGGTAGTTGATGTACCTGCAGCTTGGGTTGTATTACTTTGACTACCAACTGGTG